AAAAATAAAAAAAATAATGTCTAAAAAACTCTTTTACAAGCAAGAATGTAATAAAATTTCTTCCCTTTTTTTAATGATTTTGCTCTATAGCGCCTAAAAACATACAATATAAATATGTAAATTAAGCTTGCATGCAGAAATCTTATTTTTTCACATTCGTTGCCAATAAGTAAAACTTGGCCAACGAATGGAAAAGATATTGCACATAGTTTACAACCGAAAAAACCACGTTTTTATGAAAATAATTTACGAATTGAAAATCAAATTTTCGTAGAATTTCCATATTCATCCGCGTGTGATGCGTAGCCTAGGAATGCAACATGTCGCAACTGTTGTTAGTGCAGCTCCGAGCAAAAAACTGTCGCACACTCACTGCATGCGTAATATTTTCAGACAACGATTTGACAAATGGAAACAAAAATATTATAGAGCTGCCAAAAATACGAAGGATAACAAGCCTAAAAAAAAAATACAGAAAAAAATAGAAATAAACTAAATAAATAAAATGTGGTAGCTTTATAGGCGCACATGCAACTATTTCAACTAGCAAAAACCATGTACCATAGTTTGTGTCTGCACTTTTTCGTTGCACCGCGAAGCTACCGAAGCTACCGAACCTACCGAATATACCCAACAGCCAAACAGCCAAACAATCCAACCAACCGAATGGGCTACTGACCAACCAAGTTACCATTTGGTCATTCGCTTATTCATGCATTTTTCTTCACCCAAAAGTGGATTTTCAAATCGATGACAAGCCACAAAAACAGCACAGTTGCATCGTTTGGGTTTTTGATTTCCAGATTTCCTGCTTCCTTTGTTGTAGTTATTTTAGTTGGCGTTTTTTTGTCGTTGGTTGTGTCGTTCGTCCCATTTTGCAAACGAGAAATCGCAAATGACGCTTTGGGTTTTGTACGGCCGACCGCAGGCAATGAAATGAATGAGTAGTTGTCGGAACCCACGGTGTTGGCGGCAACATTAGCTGAGATTGCAACTTTTTTGCATTTTCTAAATTTTTTTCGGATTCACATTTTTACGCTCAGCTTTTGTTTTATCGTATTGCAGTTCATTTGTTTTAACTGCTTTTTGGCTGGTGTTCATTCTGCCGTTGAAATAGGCTTTAGCAAATGAAAAATTGTAGCCGTGAATCTGATTACTGAGACTGATCAACAATAAAATTGTTTCAAAAAATTTCATTTCTATTGTTTTTATTTCCGGTTTTCATTTTTATGTTGATTGTTATAAAAGGATTACGTCACTGTTGCTATTTGACTTTCAAAAATATACCTTAGATGTACGCATATCGTTATGGAAGTCAATATTATTCTTTTATTTTTCATCACAATAATGAATATTACTCAGTTCTGATACATGTTTGTCTTTATTATTAATACTATAAGTGCTTTCCATCTCAAATATCATTTATTGCTTGAAAAATGTTTAACTCTATGTAGTTTTAAGGCAAAACAGTAGCTTAACAGATCGAAGATCCTAACAGAACTTCATTTTACTGCACAGTTGATACATATAAAGAAATGGTTTTACAATCAATTTAAGAAAATAATAATAAATAAAATAAATTGTTTTCAAGAATTAAATGCTAATGGACCCACATATCGATTAATTCATAGGGCACATTATATTATTCTATTCACTGTCTCATTGTACTCTCATTAACAGCAGGTCTTCTTTACCCCTTTTTCCTTTTAAAACCGATATACATAGACTCTCTAAAGAATTCTTCCAACTTCTACATTAAAATATTAAGAGAAGACAATATAGTTATACAGTTTATGCCAAGAAGTGTACGAGAAACTATCAAGTTTTCAGTGATTGTGCAGGTATTCACATTAAACAAATATTCAAGTTATATATATTAAAAACTTTTTGAAGATCCATAAAGACTAACTATAACGGATATCGAAAGTTCAATAATAATTCTAAAAAATAAATTGGTTACAATGACATTTTGATATCTGTAGTTAATTTAATGTAAGTATGTCTAACGATTCATCAATAGTCTTCAAAGAATCTAGAGCAGTTTGACTGCTCTAGTTAATCTAATGTATGTATGTTAAATGACTCAATTACAGTGTTTAAAGAATCTGTTGCAGTTTGACCGCTCCAGTTAATGTAATTGATGTATATTAAAAGACTTATCAACGGTCTCTAAATAATATGTAGCAGTTTAATTAACTGCTCTAGTTAATCTTACGTATGTATATCAAAAGATTCGTTAACGTTCTTTAATAAATCCGTAATAGTTTGATCGCTGTATTGCAAAACGATTTTTCAACGATCTTCAAAGAATCTGTAGATATTTGACTGTTCTAATTGACCTAATGGATGTATGCCAAAGGACTCATTGACAGTCTCCAATTAATCTGGAGCAGTTTGACTGCTCTAGTTAATTTAAGAGATGTATGTCAAAATGATTCTTCAACAGTCTACAAAAAATCTGTAGCAACTTGACTGCTACAGTTAATCTAACAGATGTATGTCAAAAGGCTCATTAACAGTCTTCGAAGGATCTGTAGCAGTTTGACTGTTCCAGTTAATCTATTGGATGTATATCAAAGAATTAATCAACGTTCTTTAAAGAATCGTTCTTTAAATGACCGCTCCAATTAATCTAATAAAGGCTTGATCGCTTTCTATAATCTAATCCTTGTACTGCATTTAAAAGTCCCCAAATCAAAATTGATATTGAAACTGTAGATAATATTACAAAGTATCTCAGCAATATTTGAATATGAAATCAAATTTTTTTTGATTTCAAAATATATTTTGAGTATAAATGATTTCAGCGCTACCAACAAAAGGACTCATACTACCAAATAAAGTACAATGGCATTATATTATGAAAAATAAGCTGAGTTTATTGCTTTTGAAATATATATCTGCAACTGTAAAAAGTAAATAAGCTTTTATATGCAAAAAAAACATATGTTGGCGTATATTGTAAAAATTTAACGACAAATTTTTACTTATTCACCATTACACCAAGGAATTCGTCATAGCTAAGTTGTCCATCACCATCAACATCTGCTTCCTTAATCATTTCGTCTATCTCCTCGTCAGAAATCTTCTCACCCAAATTAAGTAATATATGTTTTAACTCAACACGTGACACGTAACCGTTTCCACTTTTATCAAAAATTTTGAAAGCTTCACGGATTTCGGACTCAGTTATGGTTTCCCTTATTTTATCTGCCATCATATTGGCAAATTCATTGAAATCAATCACCCCGTCACCATCCGTATCAATCTGATCGATCAGTGTCTGCAGCTCAGCTTCGGTAGGATTTAGACCCATTGTGCGCATAATAATGCACAATTCCTTTGTTGTGATGCATCCATCACCGTCACGATCGAAAACATCAAATGCTTCCCTAAGTTCAGCAATTTGCTCATCGGATAAGGCATCCATGGCTTTGCAGTTACTTTGTTTTTATTTTTTGGTTGTCGGTTGTTGGTAATAAGTTCCAAACTTATTTGGTGAAGATTTGCTACGCAGACGATGTCTAACGTTTGCGTTGGATTGAAGCAAATTTTGATGGACCAGAATTTTGAAACTATTGTTAACAATTTTATTTTTATTTGAAAACTTTTATATTTGATTTATCTTTTAACAATATTTTTGAAATAATTTCAAATTATCAAAGGTTACTATAAATCAAAAAAAAAAATCATTCCCAAAGGAAATAATTATTAGTTTTGTAGAGAAATTTCAAGAAGTAGTAAACTACAACAACAAACATTATTTTTATATTATTTTCATTAATTGAATTTTTGACTGACTTTACAGCTGTTTCGAGAGTTGCTAAATACTCATCATCAGTGGTCTTGAAATTATTTCTTGTATTTTCTTGTATTTATTATATTTGGCTAAAGTTGAGCATTGTATGTATGAATGAGTGAAGCAATAGACTTGCATTTTCATTGACAGTAAATACTGAATACAGCACAGCTGTAAACTGAATTGTTGCACACTTAAAACAGTGCTGTCTTGTTAATTAAAGCACTAAGAAAAACAGTAAATAATTTGAATTCAATGTTATCGGAACGAATTTCTATAATACATTGTATTATAATAAAATATCTATTTTATATACTAAAGTTCTTATAATGAATTATTATGAATTATTATATGAATATGAATTATTTGTTTATAATGAATTTAAATAAAATCAAATAAGAGAAATCTATATTAACAATTCACATGGCTTAAACATGCTCAACTGAAAAGAATTAGCTGTGCCAAAATTCTTTATCATCTCCAACTGCTATTCAAAAATGAAAATCTCAAGGCTAAGAACAGAAACATAACCGCCACTTCTATATGAGTGTGTAGCGTTTAACAATGCCTTAAACACTACTATTCGCCAGCTAGAAATTGCACAAAACCATGCTCTGAGAAGACTTTCCAAGGTACCATTGTACGTTAGGACGAATGACATCCTCAGGGACCTCAAGCTTGATCCCATAAAAAAACACATGAAGGATAGGGCCCTTAAATAATTTACGAAAACTGACAGACTTACCAACACCGCGTTATCAAATCTCAGAATGGTAACATGCTCCTCGGAAAGGTATGCAGATCTAAGGGTCAATTATTGCTTAGTCTGATGAAGTGATAAACAATAATCCAATCAAGGCGTAGAGAGTGATTATGAAGCAATGTAGCAGTTAATAGCGAGTAAAAGTGCTCAAGTGCACTGATTCAGCTAGCGTCAACATATTAATAATATATTAAAGTTAAATGTTTCAAATTAAGTGAAACTTATTTGTTCATTAAATTCGTCTTAAAGTTTTCTAAGATATTTAAAAAAAAATTTATTCACAGCCATAAATTTTTATACACCAATTTTTTGCAATTTTTAACTTTCTTTTGTGAAAAAAAAATTGTTTTTTTCTTGTTTTTTATTTTGCAAATCACACTATTTTTCCTCTTTTGCAATTTCCTCAACTAACTTCCGCAATTTAAAACCTAATTGCAGATGGCCTTATTGATCTATCATCCTTTTTAAATCAAGGCTTGTCAGGTTAGTTTTTTTTTATTTTCTTCTTACTCTCTTCTTCACTATTCTCACGTTTTTTCTTAATAAAAGTTCTTCTATTTTGCATGAAAATTTTTAATCAATTAATTTTTGCATGTTTTGTAAATAGTTTATTTTAATTACAACAAAAAAAAAAGAAAATTAATTATAATTAAAACTTTTAAAGTAAACCTTCAGGATTAAAGAGGATCTAAAGCATTTATTAACTTATGTGCTGCGCTTTTATTTCACAATTTTTCCATGAAAAATTGCAAGAAAATTATTTGAATTAACTTTTACAAACTAGTAATTTAAGTATATAAAAAAACGGAATGTATTTATCCTGTTCAAGTTCTAAACAGGATACGCTCTATAAAAACAAGGAGTAAAAAATAATTTTAAATTTAACTAATTTAAGTCACGTTATGCGCTTTAACTCCACATCAAATAGCTGCAAAGCTACTCTGTGAGCACTGGTCTAACTCAAACAATTGAACTTTGGCATATAACTCTTATCCAGCACTAAGGATATCTGAGAGTCAATAGTGCTAAGCCAACTAGCGTTGCATACAAGGACACAACATCATCGTTGTAATTGCGCGAGAAAATACGAGAAAAGCGCACTTAAAGCTGTAAATTCAAGCCGTTAACAAGCCTCAAAAGTGCTGCCAGCGGTGCAATCAAAAAGCAAATCACTTTTGAATTTTAAAAACCAAAAACTGAAATGCAAACAAATACAGACACTCACACGCATACACCCATACACACATACACACATATATAAATGCATGCCTGCACTCGAGTCTAATGCAAACACAGGTAAAGGTCACTCGAGTTGTGCTTTAGCGCTTATCATTGCACCGGGTCTATGTGTGTAAGTGTGTGTGTGTGTGTGTGTGTGTGTGTGTGTGAATGCTTGTGTGCCACTTCCGGTGATTTGCATTCGCGAGTCGTGTTTTTAATCAAAATACATTGGCGGAAAAATAGAAAAATTTTGAATTTCTCGCTGCCTCCCTTCACGTCCCTTCACTGAATTTCAGAAAATTTCAGAAAATTTCAGAAAATTTTAGAGAATTTCAGAGAATTTCAGCGAATTTCGTTATGCTGCAGTTTTTTCGCGTTTTCATTTTAACGCGTGATTTACTACAAAAACTTGCAATGTTGCAACCGAATTAGAAAAAGGATAATTGCATTTTCAGCACCTGCATACTTAACCTGGAACAAAAAATGCACATAATAGCGTGATTAGCTTTACGCCAGGAAGGGGTCACGAAAATCCTAGTGCAGAAAAAAGAACACAGAAAATATTCAGAGAAAAATGAAAAATGGAAATGGATTCAATGGCAAAAACTTGCAAATGAAATTTTCAGCTCAGGAAACAAAATACTTAAATTGTTGCTAAAATGTTAAAAATTTTTCCGCTTTTCCCGCACTTTTATTTGCAAAATGCAAATATTTGAGCGAGAAACCGAATAAAAGCGAGAAACTGAAATATGAACAATGAATACCATTTTATTTAGTTTTTATTTGCAAAATTTTGAATACAACAAAAGGATATTTAAAACTTATGAAAGCTAATGCTTAAGTGCACGTGAGAAAAAATTATTAATAAAAAAAATTATTAAAAAAATAATCTAGTTCAAGGTTATGAAGTGAGTTCGTGAAGCTAGCCTTAATAAAAATGGAAGATGATTTGGTGAGAGTAGGAATTTAATAAAATTTTTTATAAAATATATATACATACATTCATATTATACGAATACATATACATATATATATATATATATATATCTCAAGATTGATCCGTTCAAAAAATACATAAAGGACAGAGCCCTGAAATTATTTATGAAAACTGACAGGCTTACCAGCACCGCATCATCGAATCTCAAAACAATTACAGGCTCCTCGGGAAGGTATGCAGATTTAAGGCAATTATTGCTTAGTTTGATGAAGTGATAAACAATAATCCAGTCAAGGCGTAGAGAGGGGTTACGGAGTGACCTCGCCGTTGATAGAGAGTAAAAGTGCTCAAGTGCAGTAACTCAACTAGATTAAACATAAATAAATATAGTAAATATAGTCAGAAATCGGAAATATCAATTTAATAATATCAAAACTTACTTCGTTGTAGATATATCCTTTATACTAATAACTATACAACAAATCTTAAAAATCTTTTTAAAAATAAAAAAACTTTAAAAGTGTTTCTTTATTTAGAATAAGAATCAAATATTTATTTTATATATTAAATAAATTTCTTAATATTCCTTTCTTTAATATTTTCTACTTTTCACTTAACTGAATTTCCTAAATACAAACAAATGCGTACAATAATCGCAATATTAATAGATCGATATGTTTTTGCAAATTTTTTTTTTGTACATAAGTTTTGCATATGCATTGTTGCAACTTGCTTTTCTCTGTTTTACAACACAGTCAGATATCAAAACAGGAAACCTACACTATACAACCTATAACCATTTCAAATAAGCGGACAATTCATAAATAATAAATTTATTACTTAATTACTTAACATATTGTCAGTGGTCGCAACCATTAAGTTCCTACTTATAAACTCCAAGTGAAGGCGTCCCAGTGAAGTGTTGAGTAGCTATCTGAGTACATATCGCCTTTTTAGGCCTCGCCTATTTTAAACGCATATTTCCATCTGCTTAAAAAAATGATTTTCTCTTTCCAATTGAATCTGTTGAGTCCTATATGACTTAACAAGCTCCAAAAATGCACTTTATAGTTTAAGGAATTTTTTGAAACGAAAACATTAATTTGATTAGTCATAAAATTTATAATCTGTATAGTTATATGAGGCCAATTAAAGTTATGATTATTGCTTGACAATTTTGTGTTTTTTTTTTCCACAATTATTTTAAAATATAGTTGGTTTCGATACTACTATTTAATGTTCCGAAATCAAGCTCCCATTTCCATACTTCTAAAATATGTTTAATCAATTAGACTATGAACCTCAAATGACGACTGCTATAAGATATATCTGTTCAATATCACTAAATTATGTGCAGGTCATAGGTACGTCGCTAGAACCCCACAGTACCATACGAAAACTACACATCAAGTACTTTTAGTCATAGATTTCTGAAACATGTATTATATGCTTGGTATCAAAGAATAGGTAGGAATAAAAGTTTTTTTTAACGTTTTTAAAAATCCTACCTACGTGTAGCAACTATGTGACCTATAATATCTGCTGCGCTATCTCTGGAGAGATTTTCCTAAGTTAGATTGAATAAGTTAAAGTGATTGACAAATGTAGGCAAATCAGCAGATCTTAGGATTTAAAACTTAAATTTTATTTTCAAATAAAAATATTATATATTAACATCATAAAATGATATAATTTAATACAATAATAATATAAAGGTATAACATATATATAATAATATAATAATATGTGTGCATTCGCCTCAGGAAGCATCTTCTGATTTAAATTTTGTTTAAGAACATCCGCATATTAATAATTTTTCTTTATGGTAAACATCGATTGAAATATTTTTAGGATGTTTGTTTTATATACGTTTATAATATTGTAGTAAAAAAACAGATAATTGTTTATTTGAAATTAATTAAATATTTTTTTTTTAATAAGATAATACAAATTCAATCCATTTTCTTGTTCTGATACTATACCTACTGTACTGTACATATAATATATTATATGTTCAATTTTTGAATAATTTATAAATGTAATGGATTTGCATATTCTAATAGTAAATAGAATAAAATAATAATAATATACAATAATAATTTAATTATTATTTTTATTTTCTTTTTTGCAGATAATGAAATGCGTGACTTGAGTGTGACTTTCTACGGCAAAGACGGCGCACAAAATCTTCAATTGAGCTTCACTTTAATAGCAACTTTGATATTTGCCATCATTAAACTTAATAAATTAATTTTAGCTTAATTTTCCTAATTATAACTAAAGCCATTTATTCATGTAAGATTTCATTTAATTATTGGCTCGATGATCAGATCGAACATTGGGCTCTTCATAGAGAAGTTGTATTAAATAATTTAGTTGATGTTATGAAGAATTAGAATAACGGGTGGAATTTTCAAAATCACTACAGCAGTTGAAATAAGATATGTAATTAGGCATAAAAATATATGAATGAGAAAAAAAACTACCTAAAGCATTTAAGTAATATATAATTTAAGAAAGTAATTAAATTTTTTTTTTATATTTGAAAATATATATATCGAAAAAATTGACTTAAGACTTTATGTTGATAAATTTTGTGTCTCATCAAAATCTTACAGAAGAAGAAGAAGAAGGCTTAGCATAAGTAAACAATCATGAAACAAAGTTACAATGTCTAAAACAAAGTAAAGGAAACATATTTCAAAAAACCTCAACTCAAAATGTATATAAACTCTTTGAAATAGCAAAATTGAACCAAAGAAAAGATATTATAGCAAAATTTTGATCATTCGAATTTGCAACAAATACACATTAAACGATAAAGAATTTTAATTCAATAGTAATTAGTGTGGTAATTAAGTACGACAGGAGATGAATATGAAGAAATTAACTGAAATATGTTCAGTTTATAAATAGCATAATTAAGTAAAGAAGAATTATTTAAATTATATACCAAAAAAAATAAATAAATAAATAAATCAAAAAATAAAAATTTATAAAAATAAAATAAAATTCAAAATGTAGTTAAGCATGTTGTAAATAAATTAAAATTAAAATTAAAAAAAAACAAAACATTTTAATTAAATTTAATTAAATATTGTAATGATGTATTAGTGAAATTAAATTTGTGTCATACATATATATACATATAAATAGATATAAACAAAAAAAAAATAAAACAAAAAATTATGAAAGAGAGGTGAAGAAAAAATATCTTAAAAATTGAAATTATAAAGAAGAAAGATATCTTGCTTTAAGCTAAATTTTATGGGCTTTTTGCGATTTTTTATATATATACTGAGAGACTTTGTAACTCATAGTTTTAGGCCAATTTATTTAACTTATTGTTTATTTTTATTATTTTTTATAATTTAATTTTTTTTAGTAAATTAATATTTTGCAAAAGTTTAATAATTTTTTAAGTATTAGAAATATTTATGTAATTATTTTTACTACTTAAATTATTATTTTCTTTATTAAAGATAGTAAATTAAAGTGTAAATATTTTATAAGAAAATATCAATGAAGATCAAACCAAAATATAATAAAATTTTAGTAATAATCCAAAAATATTATTAAAAAGTAGCATAAACTTTTTTAAACTTTTGAAACCACCAACAAAAAATAAAAAAAATAAATTAATCTAATTACTTTTAAAGTATATTTAAATTTATAAAAATATTATTTACATATATGTAAGTAAATATATATTATAAAAACTACGAAACTATATGTGTATTAAATATTAAATTAATTTGACTTAATTACTTTTATGAAAATAAGTATAAATTATAAGAAAAATTTATTCTTATTAAGTTAGCAAATAAAGTAAAAATAACATATACAGGGTGTTGCTGTGGCTTAAGGGTTTTTAAACTATTGAGGTGAATGTGTAAGATTGTTAGGCGAATTATAATTAATATGGAATGGACTTCTTGCTTAATTAAAAAAAATTAAGTTTACAACTTAGTAATTGAAAGGATATTTTCATATCTGTTAGTATTTGGTAACTCAGTTACTTGCTCAGAAATATATAATTTGGTTACTATTAAAATAAAACCTAAGCAGTCTAAGACAACAGATTTTAGAACTATTTGAGAACCTATTCTATTCCAGAGAAGAAAATCGATTGTTAAGCCAAAATTTTATTAACCAAAATATTATTAATATTATAATGTGTCTTGACAACAGATTTAAAACTTAAGTTACTTTTAGTACTAAACTTTTCTCAACACATTAATTCCGCAATAATAAAAATCGATTTTTGTGCTAAAGATTCTTATTATTTAAGAATATTAATTAAGATTTATTTAAGAATTTATTAATTTTTATAACTGACTTTCTTTAATCTGAATAATTATTTTTTATATATATTAATTATAAATTAAATGAAGTTAAATGTAATGAAGTTAGATTAAATTAATTTAAATTAAATTAAATCAAATCATAGTAAATCATGTTAAACTAATTAAATTATTATATTAATATATTTAATGATTTTTTATCAAGAAACTATTTTAGTACTAAAATTATTTTCAGCTCATTTTTATTTTACAAAGTTAAAAAACTATATAAAGTTAATATATATATGCTAAATTTTGTAGATTGAAGTATTATATAATATGAAATTAGTTTTAGTACAAAATTTTATCTAACAAATTTTAATTTCATAATTATAATCAAATTTGATTATTATGGCGAACAATTTTGTTTGACTGATTTACTCACCTCCTAACTCATTATTTATTTAATGTTAAATTTAGTTTCTAAAACTTTTAGTACTGAAACTTTATTAAAAGTTAATTTTTCTGCTACGCTTTGATTTAGTAATAATTTTATTAGCAAAGTGATTTAAATCAAAATGCTTTTAATTATGTTAGTGACTCGTTTTAGTACTAATTTTCTTTATAATAATCTATAATTGCAGTGTTGTGATGAAAACTAATTTGTGTGTTAAAATTCATTTGGAATTATCCGTAAATTTAAATTTTATTAGTCAAGTGTTTTATTCATTCATAATTCTAATTTTAGTCTAATTTTAGTATTAAATACTACTGAAATACTTATCACTATTACTAAATTTTAATGCTAATCCTTAAACAAAGTTTGTCACAGAAATTGACTTTCAGTAAATTTAAGAACAATAATTGTTCAAAATTAAATTCTATTATAATTCTTAGTACTAAATTTTTTTGAAAAATGTGTTGTTGTTAAAGAAGTGAAAATATCTACCAAATTTTACCAATAATTTTATAGCAACATATTTCCATACAAAATTTGATTACATAGCAATTTGAGTATTTTATTCTAGTAGCAACAAATTGCTATACTAAATTCTATAATCACCTTAACATCCAAAGCAGCACCCTGTATATGTTAGTAAATGTAAAACCAAAAATGAAACCAAAAAGAAAAAACAAATTTGAAATGCCAACAAATTAAATTTTGATTACTTCAAATTAATATAACAAATATGTACCATTGAACTAATATAAAACAATAAATAAGAAAAAATATCTCAAAACTTTTATAAAAATTACAGTAAAAAAATTAAAACAAAAATTTAAATAAAGATAATTTAATTTAAATTATTCTAAGTATAATCAGTGACGTAAATGTTAATTATCAAAATACAAATACAGAGCGAACAAAGAACATCATTGGAATTATTGTATAAGAAAATTCAAAATAAAAAAAAAACAAATTAATTATAAAAAAAATTAAAATAAAAAAAAAGAAAATAAGTAAATAATTATTGCCCATAGTACTAAGTTTAAAAATTTATTGGTGTATCGTGCATTGAAGTAAGAAAATTTACAAATTAAAACAAGCATAAAACATAAATGAAATTTACAAATAAATTAAATTTTCATTATATATACATACATATATAAATATATATAAAGATATTATGGATTATTTGCATATACGTATATATGAAAATTGCAAATGGAAACTTGTGTAAATTCAACTTAGTTAATATAAAAACAAAAACAAATAAAACCAAAGGAAAATAAATGTATGAATTAAAGGCATTACAGACATTACTAAGTCAAATAGTAAGTAAATGTATTGCAAATTATAAAAGTAAATAAATATATATTATAAATACATATATACATATATTGAATTTAATGTATTTACGTTTAGTTATAAAATTAATCCACTTTTATATTTCATTTGCTAATTTTAAAACTTATACTAACTAAATACAATATTTGATTATTTTGTAAAATTTTTAAAACTACAAATAAAGTCAATATTACCGGAATAAATGTAAAATAATTATTGTTTTATTTCCATTTAATATATTTACATTAAATAGTTTAGAAAGGAATTTATCAATATTTAATTAATCTAGATACTCAACATTTCACTAGTTATCAAAGTTAAAAGCAAATAAGTCAAGAAGTTACTCAACTGAACGATGACGATTTTGGAATATTAATAATTAATAAGATATTCAGGCAAATAAGAATAAAGGAAGATACTCCCATGCTATACAGATAGATGGCGCTTAAAATAACTGCTGACAAAGTTATAGGTCACAGAAGGAAACGCAACATATTACTCACTAACTCCGTCATTATCTAACAGTCTTTTTATGTGTTATCCTTGTTTATCCTCCTTATTATAATTTATTATTTATGTATGTATTTATTCACCTTATCTATAAATAAGGTTCACTTTTCCTAAAATTCTTAACTGACATTCTTAACATATGTTAAAAAGATATTATTCTCATAGAAATGACACAGTAATTATTTTAGAACAGCAGTAACTCTTTCCAAAACCCTTCAACTTAAATAATGTGGCTTTGACTTTCTCTCTAGTTTCACAACACATTCACTTGCTAAAGCCTTACTTTTTTTTTTTGTTTCAAAAAGAGTTGGGTACTAGTCACCGCGTCATTGCATCCTCGAGGATTATTGTTACACACCTACTTCAATTCCATAGACGAGTAGCAGTTAAGAATGCCAATATGTCCTTTGGAGAGATGTTGCCTAATTCCGTTATAAGCGGATAGGCAGTGGATAAGTAGCGAAGTCTGAGTCTTGCAAGACTATCACAGTGACACAAAATGTGTTCTGCTGTTTCCTCTTCTTCGCAACAAAGTCTGCAGCTATCGTCTCCAGTAATACCTAGATTCATTAAATATTTTTTAACTCCGCAGTGTCCAGTTAGAAATTCTGTGACAAGTCGGATGCCTTACTTAGTTCAAGTCCTATGAAACTGATTTACACTAGTATTCAGTCATCTAAAATAAACTCACTTGCCAAAGCCCTATTGAGCTCATCCCCTATGAAACCGATTTACACTAGCATACAGCCATCTCTCTTCTTAAATTATCTGAAATTCGGTCATTTTACCAATAATTATTTTTATTTCTTGATTTCTATTTGTTCTCAAAGTTACAAATGTCATTCCAAAGTAAGCATTACGAGTCAATTACGGCCATACAAAAAACTGGGTGAAGAATTTGAA